AGGCAAATACTTTACTGGCTATACTGTCTTTTCAGATTTTAAATAGGGCCTGGGTGGTGGTAGGGTTTAGATAGGGCCTAGGTGATGGGGCTTAGATAGGGCCTGGGTGATGGGGGTTAGATATGGCTTGGGTGAGGGGGTTAGATAGGCCCTGGGTGATAGGTGATGGGGTGAGATAGGGCCTGAGTGACGGGCGATAGGGGTTAATAGGGCCTGGGTGATGGGGGTTAGATATCGCCTGGGTTATGGGGGTTAGATAGGTCCTGGCTGGTGTGGAAAGTATGGGGTCTTAGGCACTAATTGTAATGGTTACAGTAACACTAATTACCCAGCAGTATTGTGGATCGGGCACATCAGTAATGGATAGTAATGAATCTATTCATTCAGTTACTAATATTTTTATCTGGCTACCATCTACTCAGAAATTTGGCACAGCAAATGAGACATTTGGCCTCTGCGCTCATAATGTTCTAGACTAGAGAAGAGAGATGTTTCTTTTCTTTTTATTTTTCCCTGGTGAAGAAGAAATAGTTTTATTTATGAACAATGGGAGGACAGTGACAGTGACAGTGACTTAAAAAACTGTGAAGTGGGAGCTGGAGCGATAGCACAGTGGGTAGGGCATTTACTTTGCACACAGCCGTCCTGGGTTCGATTCCCAGCATCCCATATGGTCCCCCCGAGCACCACCAGGAGTAATTCCTGAGTGCATGATCCAGGAGTAACCCCTGTGCAATGCTCGGTGTGGCCCAAAAAAGCAAGTAAAACAAAACAAAACTGTGAAGAGGAGCTGGAGCGATAGCACAGTGGGTAGGGCATTAGCCTTGCATGCGGCTGACCCGGGTTCAATTCCAGCATCCCATATGGTCCCCTGAGCACCGCCAGGAGTAATTCCTGAGTGCATTAGCCAGGAGTACCCTCTGTGCATTTCTGAGTGTGACCCAAAAAGCAAAAAAAAAAAAAAAAACCACCAAAAACCTAAAAAAGGTTCTTCTTTTATAATTAAAAAAAATGTAGAGTCAAGCATCAGGAAGACAGCTAAGAAATCCATGAGAATTTAGCATGTATAAGGGCCTGGCCTCGATCTCAGATTCTCCCCCACACCCCCACACCCCCAAAAGATACAGCCAAGATTTATACCCAAGTCCCTTTCACTCTAAACCATATATTTTTCTTCTGTCATTATTGTTTAATGACACAGATGATTATTCTAATTTGTTTGGGTCATGCTATTGTATGGGCTTAGGGACTGGCCCTTTCTCTGTGGTGGAACTCCCAGCAGTGCTCAGGACAGCATACGGGGCCATGAATGGAACCTGGGCCCCCTCCTACCAGGCATGTGCTCACCGGTTGAATGCTCCATCCCTACAGACAGTTCCAGAAAGCACAGAATTATCACCTGTCACTAGACATGCACTAACCAGAATTGTGTTTTCAGATAACTGTCTTTTCATATTCTGTCCGGCTTTCAGAGCCATGAAGCTATTGCCTTAAACTTTTTTTTTTTTTTTTTTTTTTTGCTTTTTGGGTCACACCTGGCCATGCACGGGGGTTACTCCTGGCTCTGCACTCAGGAGTTACTCCTGACGGTGTTCAGGGGACCATATTGGATGCTGGGAATCGAACCCAGTTTAAACTTCTTTCTTATTTGGTTTTGTTTGTTTGTTTGGGGACACATCGACTGGGCTCTGTGCTTAGCGATCATTCCGGGCGGGAATGATCAGGGGACTGTAGGGATGCCAGGGATTGAACCCAGAGTCAGCCTCACGCTAGGAAAACTCCCTACCCGCTGTACTCTCTCCTGCTCCCACATTTCTGCCTTTTTCACTCTCAGCAAAACTTTGGTTCAATGGATTCTGCATCTTTCTAGAGACTCAATTCATGCTAATGACCTCAGTGATGAGGACTAAAAGCTGCTTTCCTCTTCTGCTTCCGCTCTGCTCTGTTCTGAACACCAATTGTATATTTAAATAGGGGATTCTGCTTTGGGAGCTATTTTTAACATATGGAAATGTGTTTGCTTTCTCCCAAGTTTCTAATTTATGTTCTGTAACCAAGAGTAGCAACACAATTTATGTGCTAATGTCCCGATCTAGGGAGAAGTCTCTACGTAAACAATGGTGAGTCTGTAGAAGCCAAAGCAAAATAGTAACAAGATGCTGCAACTTGCTAAATTATTCATTCCTCTCTGACTGCTTCCTGGAGCTGGAGAACTTCAGGAACGGTGCAGTGCAGTGTGTGTCCAGACACAGAGCACTGTATTTGCTCATCTTGGAATAACTCCTAGGGTCTCTGGCAAGGTCATGGCCATTGTTTTGCATTTCAGAACACAGATATTTCCCTCTCCTTAGACTAGCTCAAAAATGTGGGGGTGGGGGGCATGTGCCCAGAGAAATAATGCTGGGGTTAAGGCTCTTCCCTTGCATTTTCCTATCCCCAGTTCAATCCCCAGCACCGCACTGGTTCCCCGAGCACTGCCAGGAGTGACCGCTGAGCACAGAGATGGAAGTGAACCCTGAGCACCAACTGGGTAAAGCCCCCAATCACACACACGGTCACGGTCACGGTCCTCCCGTTGTTCATCGATTTGCTCGAGCGGGCCCAGTAACCTCTCCATCATGAGACTTGTTGTTACTGTGTTTGGCATATCGAATATATCACGGGTAGCTTGCCAGGCTCTGCCGTGCAGGCGTGATACTCTCGGTAGCTTGCTGGGCTCTCCGAGAGGAGCGGAGGAATCGAACTCGGGTCGGCCAATAACTTTTTTTTTTCCCTGGGTAAAGGACTTAAAGGCCTTCTGTACAGGGGCCAGGGTTTATTCCCAACACCTTATGGCTCCCTGCACACCACCAGGATATTCCCTGAGCACCCTTTGGGATGGCCAAAACCAAAAACCAGAAGCTGCTCTTTCGAAATAATTTGGGGGTTACACCTGGAGATGCTCAGGGGTTACTCCTGGATCTGCACTCAGGAATTACTCCTGGCAGTGCTTGGGGGATCCTGTGGGATGCCGAGGATTGAATCCAGGTCAGCCACATGCAAGGCAAATACCCTACCCACGGTACTATCGCTCCAGCCCCCCCATTTTTTTTTTTTTTGCTTTTTGGGTCACATCCGGAGAGGTACAGGGGTTACTCCTGGCTTTGCACTCAGGAATTACTCCAGGCGGTGCTCAAGGGACCATATGGGATGATGGGGATCGAACCTGGGTCGGCCGTGTGCAAGGCAAACGCCCTACCAGCCGTACTATTGCTCCAACTCCCCAAAATAATTTTTAACAATCTCCTAAGATCACATTTTGGAGACCTTTTTCCCCATATAGACATTCCAGGTCTGCATTTTCTTGTAGAGATGGAAATAATGTCTGTCCAGTGAGACCGCTGCTGTGGTCACACGTTAGCCACATGTGGCCACTGAGTACATGTGGCTAATGTCCCGGAAGACAGAGGTTTCAATTTAACTGCATCTGAGTTGAAACAGCCATGTGTGGCCCCTTTGTGGAATAGTACCGCCCTAGGCCGTGCAAGAAATTTGAATCTGCCTCTGTCCACTCATTTATTCATGCCGCATGACCACTTCCACTGCCGGGTGTGCTTGGTGTAGATAACAGAAGCCAAACACGTTAAAATTCAGCACAAAACAACCACTACTGTCTTCAGAGAGAGGCTGGTCTGGCAGGATTCTCATCCTAGAAGTGCAGTTCCAGTGTAGTCAGGGATTGTGGCCTGGGGTGAGAGCCTTATGCAGGACAAGCGCCTTCCCTGCTGTACTGCCTCTCCGGGCTTGTAGGGTGGCATACTCAGTTTTGCTTGTTTGTGGGCCAAACCTAGCAGTTCTCATTGCCCTGGGGTCATCCTGGCTGTGCTTAGAGGACAGTGCAGTGCTGGGGATCGAACCCAGGGCTTCTGCAGCCCTTGCAGTGAGGACTCCACTGAATAGTTGTGGTGAAGACTGACTGTGAAAGAAGCAGAGGAAACCGACTAGCTCGTCTTTCATGCCTGACGTTTCCTGTCGTCACCAGAGAAGGAAGCGAATAGTAGTGATCCTCCAGCATTGGCTGCGAATTCGTGAGGCTTTTTGTGAACTGGTGCATTCAGTATCTGTTACCACTCACTACAGATCGGGTAGGGCGTTTGCCTTGCACACGGCCAGCCCGGTTGACCTGGGTTCAATTCCTCTGCCCCTCTCGGAGAGCCCAAAAGCTACCGAGAGTATTCTGCCTGCACAGCAAGCTCCCCGTGGCGTATTCAATATACCAAACACAGTAACAACAAATCTCACAGTGGAGACATTACTATTGCCTGCTTGAGCAAATCGATGAAAAACAGGAGGACAGTGCTACAGTGTTTTTGGCTTTTTAGGTCACATCCAACGATGCAAAGGGGTTACTCCTGGCTCTGCACTCAGGAATTACTCCTGGTGGTACTCGGGGGACCATATGGGATGCCAGGGATCGAACCCAAGTCAGCCGTGTGCCAGGCAAACGCCCTCCCCACTGTACTATCACTCCAGGCGCCAGATATGCATTATTATTATTATTACTATTATTCCGATTTCACAGGAGAAGTTTTAGAGATATTAAGCCGTCTGTCGAGGCCCATACCCAAGTCCACTCACCCCAGAATGCAGTTGCTCCTTTCCTCTTTCCTGTCTTGCCATGGTATTTCCCCAAGAAGGACATCAAGCAACTGCTTGTTCTCATTTTTGCCTGTTCGTTCTTTGCTCTGCTTCTGGCAGTACTTGGGGCCTACTCCCAGGTGGCGGGGATGGGGAGGCATGGTGGAGGGCATGGGGGGGCTGTTGGTCCTGAGGGTGTTGGGATGCTGGGATGCCAGGAGTGGGACCATCCCGTTCCACTGAGCCCCTCCCAGAATGGAAAGGATTTCTTTCAAGTGGCGGTTCCCGTGTTGGAGACCCCGGGCCCACCCCTGCCAGCTCATACCTGATTCTTAGCAGACCCCAGACCCCAACCCTCACCCTGAGTTTGTGTTTCTTGGCAGGGTCAAGGCAGAAGGTGCAGAGGCCGGGGAAGGCCCGGGAAGTCCTAGAAGGGAACTGTGTCCTGGACAGCGGGTCCGCTGCAGACGCCTGGAGAAGCCCGGTGCCCTAACCAAGCGGGAGACTGTGCAGACCAGGATGTCCAGCGCCGAGATGGTCATCAGCCACCGGGCCTCGGGTCTGGGGGCCCCGAAGAGGAGGCCACTGGGCGGTGTCCCGATCCCTGGACACACGACGCCGCTCAGCATCAAAGACAAGATTTCGGAATGGGAAGGGAAAAAGGAGCCGCTGGCGCCGGGCCCCGGCAGGAAGGCCGAGGGGCCCGAGGACCACCCGGCAGTCTCCGGGATGGAGACGATGATGACGACGGCGACAACAACGACGACGACGAGAAGCGGCGACGGGCCGCGAACTCGCGCAGCCGAGGCCCAGAACGGAGCGCGGCCCGACATCGAGAGGGCCCGGGGCGGTGCGCGGGTGGGCGGCCAGGACGCGACCCCCAGGCCCGGGCGTGAGCGGGGCCGTGGTCGCCCCCCGGACGACAGCGCATCGGTGCTGACGCAGGTGCGCCGGCTGGAGCGGGCACTGCGGGACGGCTCAGCCGGGCTGGACCCGCAGCCACCGGGCACTTGCTACTCTGCACACTGCCCGCCCGAGCCCCGGCCCCCCGCCCTGGACGCGGACGCGGCGGCCGAGGACCGCAGGGGCGCGTGCTGGAGGCCCTGGGAACACAGCCCGGACGGCGCGCCCCCCAAACCCGTGGTCAGCCCCCCACCCAAGCCCCGGAGGACGTTCAAGCACGATGGGGAAGGGGAAGGGGACCCGGGCCGAGGGGGGCCCGGCCCGAGGGTCGGGAAGGACAGACGGAACCGGCCTCCCCTGCCCTCCCTCCCGCCCCCGCCCCTGCCCTCCTCGCCCCCGCCGGCCGCAGTCAACAGAAGACTCTGGAACGGGAGGCCCAAGCCCAGTGCTGACCACAGGTGGGTGCCAGGGGGCCTGTCTGCCTGGTATACAGGGCTGCCTCCACTTCTTTTTTTATTCAGCGGATCGTTCTGTCGTCTGAGACCCTTTGTAGCTGTTTCTCCCAAACCCTTTCTCTCCTCAGCTGGAGAGAACGCAGGAGACCAACGCTGGGCCAAACTCGGGTGGGCACAATCCCTGGCACTGTTGCAGGCAACCCTGGAACAGCCCTCCAGCCCCCACTCATTCCCCAGTGCCCAAAATGCCAAAAAGATGCCTTGGGCCAGAGAGTCAGGCCCTGAACCCCAACTCTACATGTGGTTCTTGGGGCATCACTGAGCCCTGAGCATAGCTGGGTGTGGCACCCCTCACACCCCCCATCAAAAAGTCTTCACTAATTTTGTTGACTTTTGTGGGGGGCCACACCCAGTGTTGCACAGAACTCTGTCCTGTGTCTTCGCTCAGGTCTCACCCCGCACAAGGCTTGGGGGGGCCCTTGGTGGCCATAGGGATTGAACCCAGGTTGGCTGTCCTTTTGTGCTCCCATTCGGCCCCTGCGAACAGTGATCATTTTGCCTATTTCCAGCTTCTCTCCTGATCGCACTGGCTGCTCCTGTTCAGAGTAGGGGCCCCCAATCTCTCCTCAAGCACTAGAGAGCGATGTTTTTATGTCATCAAGCTAACATTCAGTTAGCATTCAGTTATATTTCTTTTTTTCTTTTTACAGAGTTTTAGAATTTTTTTTATCTTTTTGGGTCACACCCAGCAATGCTCAGGGGTTACTCCTGGCTCTGCACTCAGGAATTACTCCTGGCAGTGCTCAGGGGACCATATGGGATGCTGGAATCGAATTCTGGGTTGACCCCGTGCAACGCAAACGCCCTACCCACTGTGCTATCTCTCCAGCCCCTCCAGCCCCGAGTTTTAGAAATTATGCTTAGGTTTTGTCAAATTGCTTTTCAGTTGATCTCTCAGTTGTGTGTTTGATCTCTCAATCACGATCACGATCACGATCACGATCATCTTGATCACAATCATCCTGTTCATCGATTGCCTCGAGCAGGCCCCAGTAATGTCTCCTTTGTCCTAGCCCAGAGATTTTAAAAAAGTGCAGTATTCAAGGCTCTTTCAGGGTTAGGAGAATGAGACCCATCATTGTTACTGGTATTTGGCATATTGGGTACGCCACGGGGAGTTTGCCAGACTCTGCCATGTGGACAGGTTATATTTGGTAAGAATGAGGTAATAAGATGTCACACGGCCGCAAATGCGGACGCTGTGCGCTTCCTGGAGCTGGGTTTTATAGTCCCTGGGTCTTGGCCATTGATGGGATTATACGGCGCCAGGGTGCCAGTTGGTGGTTGTGACCCCTGCCTACTGGAATGTGGAGGATCTGGGTGGAGGATGCTCAGCCCCGATCCAAGCAGGCTTGGAGATCTCAGCCCCCGGACCCGCATGCCCTCTCAATAGATCTCTCAATAAAAAGGTAAAGGTAAAGGCCCTCCCGTTGATCGTCGATTTGCTCGAGCGGGCCCAGTAACGTCTCCATTGGAGACTTTGTTGTTACTGTGTCTGGCATATCCAATACTCTCGGTAGCTTGCCGGGCTCTCCGAGAGGGGTGGAGGAATCGAACTTGGGTTGGCCATGTTGGCTGCGTGCAAGGCGAACGCCCTACCCGCTGTGCTATCGCTCCATAGTGCATAGTGCATAGTGCATAGAGATCTCTCAATAGTGCATATTTATTTATTTATTTATTTTTATTTTGGGGTCACACCCGGCAATGCGCAGGGGTTATTCCTGGCTCTGCACTCAGTAATTACCCCTGGCGGTGCTCAGGGAACCATACGGGATCCTGGGAATCGAACCCAGGTCGGCCGCGTGCAAGGCAAACGCCCTACCCGCTGTGCTATTACTCCAGCCCCCCTTTCAATAGTGTATTTTTAAAACTAGAAAACAATTTTTGTTTTGTTCTGTGGGGCAGCCATCGGTACTCAGGGCTTACCTAGTTTGTGCTCAGGAATCACTCCAGGTGGTACTCAGGGCTTACTCCTGGCTCTGTGCACAGGGATCACTCCTGGAGGAGCTCAGGGATCACTCCTGGCTCTGTGCTGAGGGATCACTCTTGGCAGAACGCGGGATCATATGTGGTGCTGGGAATCAAACCCAGGTCAGCTACGTGCAAGGCAGGCCTCTGACCCACCATATTATCTCTCAATGCTACAGTAGTGCTTTTTTTTTTTTTTTTTTGCTTTTCTTTTGCTTTTTTTCCGGTTCTGAGCCACACCCAGTAGTGCTCGTGACTTATTCCTGGCTCAGCCCTCAGGGATCATTCCTGGGAACTCAAAACCAGGTCCGCCACATGCAAGGCAAATGCCCTACCTGCTGTATTATTGCTCCAGCCCCATCGATGATGCATCTGTATCCTAATTGTCACCCATCCTTTTCTTTGAGGGATGGACTTCCAGTTTGGTCTCAGATTGTTATTCTTTTATCTTGTTTTGTTCTGGTACTACACCTAGTGGTGCTCCTGGCTCTGTGCTCAGAGTCCATGCTGGGTGGTGCTCAGGGAAGCATGAGGTACTGGGGTTCTAGCCCAGGCCTCCCACATGTAAAGCGTGAGCTCAGACCACTGAACTCTCTCCTTGGCCCTTTAAAGTGCTGCTGGGTTCTTTCTGTTAATAGTATTACTTTGGGGTTTTTTGTTTGTCTGAGAGAAGAGCAGAAGTACTGGTAGATGCGTCAGAAGCTGGGAAAAGTATTCGTAACGCCCGCCTGTCCTTCGCCAACTACAAGATCAAGATGACTGCCCTCCGACGTCCTGTTGGATCCATCACATCCTCCAGAACGGCAATGGAGAAGATTATCCATGACTTCTACTCAAATCTCTTCAATAGCCATGTCCACTTGCCGACATACCAAATTCCACAGGATGGATATGTCGTTCCCAACGTTCTCCCTTCCGAAATCCGACACGCCATTTCGTCAGTAAAGAAACAAACAGCACCCGGCCCAGAGAAGGTCAGACCTGAACACCTGAAGAACCTGCCGTCAGTACTCATCAATACACTGGCTCGGCTCTTCACTCGCTACCTGTCTGAATGCAAGGTTCTGTCCCAATGGAAAACCAGCAGGACCGTACTACTGTTCAAGAAGAGAGACATCTATGACATTGGCAACTATCGCCCGATCTGCCTATTGTCTGTCATCTACAAGTTGTTCACTCGAGTCATCCTAAATAGGATTGGCAGAACACTAGATGAAGGACAACCATGCGAGCAAGCCGGGTTCCGCAAAGGATTCAGCACCATCGACCATATCCACACGATAACCAAGCTCATTGAGGTTTCTCGGGAGTTCAAGATGCCGCTCTGTTTAACGTTCATTGATTTAAAGAAGGCCTTTGATTCTGTTGAGACGGAAGCGGTCATTGAAGCCCTAGCCAATCAGGGCATTCAAGCCCAATACATCAGGATCTTCCGTGAGCTGTATTGTGGATTCACTACCAGGATCTCACCATTCTACAAAGAAGTGATCGTTGATGTCAAGAGAGGGGTGCGGCAGGGTGATACCATTTCACCAAAACTCTTCAGTGCCACCCTCGAGAACATCATGCGACGACTGGAATGGGAAGGAATGGGAGTGAAGATAGATGGTCGGCAACTACACCACCTCCGCTTTGCTGATGACATTGTTTTAATAACACCAAACATCAGCCAAGCGGCACAAATGCTGGCCGACTTTGACCGTGAGTGTGGAAAGGTAGGACTACAGCTGAATCTTACGAAGACTAGAACTGTTACCGACTGGATTCCACGGGATGTCAAAAGACCGCGTGGCCGCCCACCTACCGGATGGTCAGACTTCTTCGTCAAGATCATGAACGATCGGTTTGAGGCCCTTCATGTTCCCGGAGCGAACAGATGCCATTGGGCTACACTGGCATGCGACAGGGACAAATGGAGACGTTACTGTTGCCCGCTCGAGCAAATCGATGACTAACGGGAAGTTAAGTGATTATTAAGTGATTAAGTTTTGGGGGCCACACCCAGTGATACTCAGGGGTTACTCCCTGGCTCTACACTCAGAAATCATTCCTGATGGTGCTCAGGGGACCATATGGGATGCAAGGCAGATGCCCTCCCCTCTGTAACTATCTCTCCAGCCCCTCTGTCTGCTAATACTTTACTGAAGATTTTGAGCACCAGCTTTTCATAAATAAGATGGGTCTGTACTTGATTCCATTGAGTGCTCTCTATGGGGCTTGGGTTCCAAAGTTGTGTGAGATCTGAAGAACTTAGAGGCCTCCTTAAATCTTTTTTTCTTCCCCCAGCAGCAAATGCCCCAATGTTTGTTTTTAACTGAATCACTGGGAGATACACAGATACAAAGTTGTCCATAATTGAGTTTCAGTCATACAATGTTGCAACTCCCATCCCTTCATCACTTCCCGACACCAATACCAGTGTCCCCAGTTTCCCCCTGACCTCCCACCCACCTCTATGGCAGAACTTTTCTTCACTCTCACTCCCCTTCTCTCATCTCTCTCTTTTCCCCCCACCTCCCCCTCATCCCTCACCTTTTCTCCTTCTTATATCTGTTCTGAGAAAGTTTTAGTTCTTCTCCAATCCTCAATCCTTTTCCAAACCAGTGCCAAAGCCCAGGATCCTGAAAACTCTCTTGGCGTTTTATTTATTTATTTATTTGTTTGTTTTGCTTTTTGGGTCACACCCAGTGATGCTCAAGGGTTACTCCTGGCTCTGCACTCAGGAATGACTCCTGGCGGTGCTCGGGGACCATACGGGATGCTGGGAATCGAACCCTGGTCGGCCGCGTGCAAGGCAAACGCCCTACCTGCTGTGCTATCGCTCCAGCCCCTCTCTTGGCTTTTCTGCCCCTTTTCTCGGGGTTTCCACACCCTTTTAGCTGCTCCCCCAGGAGACCCCCTCAGCTGCACCGCGCACGGGATGCTTCTGGGAAACCAGCCTCTTTCCACCGTGTGATCCCGGGACAGACAGACCA